CAGTCATTTACCAACCCACGACTCGTTTATCATTCTCCACCCAAACTACCAAGGCGAAGTGGTGACCACCAACACCTTTTCACCTGCGCCATGATAAACTACAATAGCTGGGAGACTCAACAAATTTTTCAATTTTTTTTTAAGTAAATGGACGTGTTCTTACCTAGTAAATATAGGATCTACGAGGAAACGAGCTCGCCCAGAAGATACCTAAGAACCTAAAAGTCGGCTGGAAGGTGCAGACGACACAGAGAAACGCAGAGCCATAGGAGAATATAACACAGTTCCTCTTCATTAGTTCGCTGCTGCAAATAAAAATGTACCATAACTATTTAGATATAAAGTTAATATTCGGTGAAAGTTACGTATTAATATTTCATTATTTGAAAAGTTGTTTTTTTCTCGATAACAGTACACAGTCCTCGTCTTTTTTTGTAGTCATAAATAGCGGAAATTACTGATTCTCCACAACAAAATACTCCGTACATAAATTTACAATATAATACTTTAAAAAGTCGAAGATTCAGAGCTATTCGTGATTCACGGAAGTTAACGATTGCATTGTTATATGTATATTATTTAAATTATATTTTTATTACTTTCTCTATATATTTTTTATTTATGAACAGTCGAGTAGATTTGTAACATTAGAAAAGATAAATGTAAAAATCATACTGTATGTATAATTTCGTATAATTAATTTATTCATCGCTACATTTGGTTGAACAAAGGTGTTACATAAAAGTAATCCAGCACATGGACCCTGTAAGGACACCTAGAATGACTATTTCATTAATACAATGTTATAAATATGTTAAAAGCACTGTGAAAATGTACATCTCATTAATTAACATTCAAAAGTGCTTAAGTTCAGTGAAGTCAAGCAATTTAATTTTGTAAATTACTGGTCAAAATAATATGTTTGAAGAAGAAAAAAAGAAAAACATAAAATAAATAATCCTAACAAAATATTATTATTATGTCAAAAATGTGATAAAAATTAGGTGAAGATATTAAAGCAGTTGACTACTAGTAAATGCCTATAATTATAAAAACGGAAAACCTGTCATAAATATGTGATAATTGTCGTCGACATTTGTGTAGTTACCTATCATCGTATTATCGTTAAAAAATTCATCAATTGTGTAATAAGTTTTACGTATTGGCAGTTCTTTTAGTTTCATTCCTAAATGATGACGTATTTGTTCTGATTTTAGGGTATTTTATTGAAGATTTTAATAAACATGGTTAAGAGGCCGGATCTATACAGTTTCATTTTGAATTTTGGCATCATTAATTTGTTTTGACATCTTGTGAGAAAGCAACGTGGTAGCCCCCTGTTTGACGGATTCTAGTATCTTTCATGGTAAAATTACAATTTCTAAGCTCTTAATGTATGGTTTACAGGTATTCGTAGTCTTTAAATACTTTATAATTCTTATACATTATTTCTGTAGAATTAATAGTGAACCTACCTGCGTACTATTTCCCCACATAATTACTTAACCTTGCATAAACATAAGCCTAATGTGCTGCTTTGGCAGTTTTTTCGTTCGTGGTCTTTTTAAGACCCCAGAGTGTATGTAGATTTAGATAATTTCAGTGCTATCTTTTCAATATGAGCCTTCCAATTAATGTTTGCATCTATGTCGATCTGTATTATAATATATACAGTGTGATTTTTTAAACTTGGACAATTTGAGAAAATTTGAAACCATAAGAGATACATTCCGTTTGGAATCGAAAGAGTAAATACGACTATCGCTTGTACATTTAGAGATAAAATGACACTTCGGACACCAGTGGCACTACAAACCGTCATTTCTCGGATTCGGAACTGAAGGGGTCTACTCTCGATGTCCGTCCGACATCCGTCCGAAACAATGACTGTCAAATAGGTAATATGCGACAAAATGAAAAGACAAGTATCAAATACGAAGCTTCATTCGCATCACGTGTCATTTCATTTGGTCAAGTATTGCTTATTTGGCAGTAATTGTTTCGGACGGATGTCGGACGGAGATCGAGAGTAGACCCCGATACGAATCGGACGTAGTGCGCAAAATATCATTAGTAAATTTTTTATTTGTATTTAAAATTAATAATATTGTACATTTTTTAAATTCTGATCGACTACAAACTTAGTCATGCATGTAAGCATCAAATAATCAGGACAGCAGAACTTGGTCATGGTCAAGTATACCTTTTGTAAATGCCTTAATGGGACTATGTATATAGGTATATTATTACGAACTGAATGTGTCTGAAATAAAGGTTTAAATTATGAATTTGACAAAAAGGCAGTAAAAAACAAGTTCCTTATACGAAACGACATAACGTTGTTGCAAATTTAATACCTCCTATGTGTTAAAAGTAACTATCATAGAAAAACAAAAAAACTTTCTCCTGTAAAATTTTCGTAGAGAGTATTTTTGTTTAAATTTTTATTGAATTGATATTCAATTATTTTTGTGTGAAATTATTCCATTAGTTTCTTATAATTATTAATATAAAGGTCGAACACGTAGAAAAAATCCTTAGAACCGACGTCTTCTAGAATACCGTACCAGACGCTATACCAATTAACCCACGGAACGAACCAGCAAACCTCACGAATTTTTGTATTTGGTTTTTCAACGACTTTTTAGCCGTAACGACATCTATGAGGAAGTATGAAGAGTACTTTTGTTGATTGTCATTGATGTAAGAAGATATTCACATGAGAGTTTTTTCAGTCGGTTATTTTTTGAATATGCTTTTCAAATATTTACAAAACTTCTTGTCGACCGAAATGACAGACAAGAAGTTTTAAATTTGCAACGACCATAAACTTTTCCGCTCATAAATTATCTTAATAGTATCCACTATATCTTCGCCTGCGTCTCTTTCCATCCGTAATGTTTACTTGTTTACAAATATCTTTAACTTGAAGAAAGTTTGTTTATATAAAATTGTTCCAAAATATTTGAAAATTCCAAAGTAGCGGACTATGACCTTAGATCGTGTCCAGGATTACAACGCACATTATACAGTTACACACCGAATCTGGAATGTAATTAACCAAATCCAATATATCTCTAGAAATTAAACATTCAGGCTAATTAGGTTCTGTTGTTATCTCACTGGGCTATGTAAATGAACGCACCGATTATCACAGTCGGTTCCAACAATCGAAGCTGGTGACTAACTAAGTGTAAGATATCTGTTACGTATAATGTCGATTGCGACCTAACCTTTACGAATTTAACATTAACGTATTCTATAGTAATTGTGCAAATATATTCATTAGCTTGTATTTTTGTTCATTTACTCCTCCAATGTTTTATTGAAGAATTGATATCCGAAGTGAAGGACTTGGTTTGCTATATTACAAGCTTCTGCTTAGTTTAGGTTTCAGTCTCTTACATACATAACGTAATATCTCTGACTGCGTATGTTATATATTGAGTTCTTAGGTTTTCGTGAATGTTACACATAGGAAATGAAACCATTTTTTTGACTGTCACAGTCAATAATAATAATAATAATAATAATAAAGAACTTTATTTATCTACATTTACAAAACAATTTAGTCGTAAATAACATCACTTATAGATACTGTGTAGATAAAAAGGATAGAGTCTCAGCTTAAGCTGTTTTTCAGACCCTACCTTTTTGAAACTCGCTACATTTTAAACATAGTATTTGTCTGACGCGTCTCGAGTAGCTCCAAAAGATATCACAAAATAATAAATATATATATATACTCACTTAAAGTTATAATAAATCTATTGTCCGTATAGTACCTGAGATAGATAAAATATTCCACCTAAAAATACTCAAATTTGGGGTTTAGGTAGAGATGAACAGCACCCACATGTAAAAATATAATTACAAACGACATCCAATTACTTTCTGATCTTTGCCTCGAAAGTAACCAAAGCTTGCACTTTCTTTTAAAAGTACAAGATGACTTATATTTATAATCGTGACCATAGGACCTGTAAAGGGCCCGACACGTTGGTTTTTTTGAAAATACAAATATACGCGAATTAAATCCGCAAAAATAGTTTCATTTCCTATGTGTATGTTGTATTTTGATTTTAGTGTAACTATTATGTTAAAAAAGCAAAAAATTATGCAAAAAAGAAGGAGGTTCTCAATTCGACTGTACTTTTTTTGTGTTTTTGTTTTGTTTGTTTTGCGTTTGTGTTTCAAACTGTACCACCTCAGTCAACCGTGACCATGGGCCTGTAAAGGGCCCGAAACGTCGGTTTCTTTGAAAATATACGCGATTTAAATCCGGAAAAATAGTTTCATTTCCTATGTGTAACAATCACGAAAACCTAAGAAAACGATATATAACTCTGTTTCCAAATCAATGTTAAGAAATCTTTCATGAATAAAATAATCATTAAAATTCAACATTGGTCACATCACAAATCTTTTAACATTCTGAAACGATGTGAACTACGTAAATAGCTTATTTGCGTTAAAACTTTAAAGTCCATTCGTACTTAAGGGGACGAGGTGGTTGTTATTTTGTTAGGTGTATATATTTTATTGCCGACGACTATACAACCAGGTTGCAGTATCACCAGTGTTTACTGCACTGTATCATTAAAATTTTACATAGGATTTTAAATTCAGTATCAGTAGAGCTCCTTGTGAAAGAGGTCCTCCGAGGAAGTACTGCCACTTAACCTATTTCTGCAGCAAATGTTAGCATTACTACGTCCCGATTTTGAAGGTACGGGTGCTGGTGAAATTACAAGCACGTGGGACTTGTTTACTTATGTCTCAGGGTGACGATTTAAAACTTGTAGTGACACTGCAACTGTTATGGACAGGCGTGTAGCTTACCATCAGGCACACGACTTGTTTGTCCCGTCACTTGATATTATTAAAAAAAATCTTTTGAAATCAATTTTTTCGTGGATGAAAGCTATGATAGACGTATCGCTTACGACAAGGCTCACTTATTGACTTGTACGTCTTGGTATGAAAATAAAAAAACTTACTTTATGTTTTCCAAGATTGGTGACAGCGCAGCCCAAAACGGCTTCCCTCCCTAAGAAGAACGTATTATTCCCAATCGGTCTTTCAAACTCCGGATCTTCAGGGAACTTCTTCGTTGTTGTTTGGGAATCTGAAAAAAAAAAATCATTAACAAAATTATCTTGTTGACACCAGGTAATGCGCAAGTGTCAATTGGATTAAGGTGGCCTCGGTACGAATGGTATAGAAAGTAATTTTCAAGCATTCACAACGTCTGAGAGACAAAACAGAGCCGGGGTGACAGGCGTAATCCCAAATCCAATACGCAAAATTGCGAGGAAAATCGCGTTTATACGAGTATTAGAAGAGGCTCGTGTTCAAAAATGGATGACGTTAGAACGCTAGTGTGGGCTACAAAACATTTATACTAAGCGTGTTACGCACTGCATGCGATTCGTATTCCTTTCGAATCCAAGACCATACAAATCTAGAAAACTCGGAACCACTCCAGATGTAGCTTGAGCACTAAGTCCGATTCAAATTCAAGAAAATACGAATATCGCTTGTACATCAAGAGATAAAATAATCCATGTGATATTTCGGACTGTTATTTCTCGGATTCGGAGCGAATACTAACAGGACGGCGTGCGCAAATGCTTTATCGCCCAAGTTAATCTCTCATTACTAGACATGGCTATTCTCCACGATGTGGTTTAGGGTGCCTTTAAGTAAAAGCACTACAGTGGCCCCACTGTGACGTTGCACTGTGCGTCGCGCCAATACTAATTTTCATACAATATTTAGAAGCGCCACGATGGTGACATGCGCGCGCCATGTTTGGAGTCACAATAAGTGAACTAAAAATTACTAGAGTCCGTAGCGTTTCTACAAGCGTGTAATTTGAATGCACCCTGTTTGTCACAATTGTGATTACAAACATGGTGCGAGCGTGTCAGGACAGTGGTGCTGCAACTTCGCTTTTAAATATTTTATGAAAATTTATTAGTGCAACTGCAGCGCCACAGTGGAACCACTTCAGCGCTTCTACAAGAGTTCAATTCGAAGGCGTTCTCCAATACGAGATAAATAAGCGATAAGATTCATATATTTTCCGAGGATTATGAATCACCTTCTTTTGATAACCTCGGAGGACTAACGATTTATAATATAATTACAGGTACATGGGACTTGTCAACATATGTCTCAAGGTTACGGGCGCAGTGGCAGTGTCCTTCAGATTTTTGCTATTCAAAGCTCAGAGTGGCATGGATTTGGAATTGGTATGGACAGGCGTGTCACCTATCGCCAGACACACCACTTGTTCGTCCCGTCACTTGATATCTTATAAAAAATATTATATATTTGGAGCACTGTATGAGGAGGTTCAATACCCAGAACCAATTTGAAAAATGAACTTCCTTTGAATTGATTCTGATCGGAATGTTCTGGGTAGTACCTCGGAGTAAATTCCGTTGCTCTTAGTACAGAGAATTTCCTAGTTTGAAACTAAGTAATTTGTGTGGTTGTCTTGCACATTATTAAGTATAAAGTATTACATTGTTCAACGTATAGGTTTCACCGCGATGCTTTTCTTCACCTTTAACTTAGAAATGTGAGTAATTGGGGTATATAGCCAAAAAAAAATGCCACAGGGATTCGAATCATCGATGTGTCAAATGAAAATGTTTGTTTATCTTTATTTGTTCATTTATATTCAGGTTACAAAGACCCACAAATACACACCTTATAGACTAACATACATAACAATAATTAAAACACTAATTATTCAATAATAAACATGTATTGTCTGCAACGTGCGACGCAACGTGGGTAGCCGGCCTAGGGAATGCCGAATATGACACCCCTCGGCCAAAACTCCTCCTTCGTTGTAGGTCGACAGGTATTGAGTTGGCCCTCTCACCACAAATTAATTAAAATTCACATTGTGGCGGGACTCCACTGCTCGTCCCTCAGGGTAGCATTGGCTTTCACCCGTGTATTTAGTATAGTATAGTATTTCTAAGGGATTTGATGAAATTTGTACCAAAGTAATCAAAACCTCCATTCACAACTTGATTTTTATTTTTACGCACCTAATTAATTTATCTTTCATGACAGGAATTTTTCCAGACATATTAAAGACTTCCATCATTAAACCCCTACACAAAAAGAGTGACAAAAATGACGTTAGTAACTACCGTCCCATAACTCTTATCCCAATATTTTCTAAAATAATTGAAAAATGTATGCACAAACGTTTAAGTGAATACTGTGATAAATTTAAATTAATACGCAATGAACAATTTGAGTTTCAAAAAAATAAATCGACAACACTTGCCACTTTTACCTTAATGAAAGAAGTTTTAAGCAAAATTAATAATAAAATCTTGACCACAGTGCTCTTCTTTGATTTAAGTAAAGCATTTGATTTCGTTCCACATGACATTCTTATGCAAAAACTGGAAGCTCTAGGTGTGAGAAGTATCCCTTTGAATTGGTTTCGAAGTTACTTAAGTAACAGACAACAACAAGTCGTGCTGTCTAGATTAAATAAAAACAATGAGATGGTCTCATTTAATTCAGATTACCAGTTTAACAGATACGGAGTCCCACAGGGTAGTGTGTTAGGTCCCCTTTTGTTTCTTATATATATTAATGACATAGTTGACGTAACCAATCATAAATGTATAATGTTTGCTGACGATATTTCTATAATAGTGACTACCAAGGGTAAAATCTGTACTGACACAATTAAAATTCACAAAGCTGACATAAATAAAACTATTAATTTAATTACTACATGGCTTGACATTAACAATTTGCAAATAAATTTAACTAAAACTAATTATATAACATTTAATAATACATCAATATCACTACAAATTAGATATAAGGAATCGAATATTTACGAGCTAAACGAAACCAAATTTTTAGGTATAATCATTAATAAACAATTAAATTGGAAATCTCACATCGAAAACGTTTGTGAAAGAATTAACAAATTTGCCTTGCCTTGAAATGTTTGCGTAATATAACAAATATGTCAACCATGTTAACAGTTTATCACGCATATGTAGTCTCGACCCTACGTTATGGACTTCTTATCTGGGGAAATGGTACGAATATAAACAGAGTGTTATTAGCGCAAAAAAATGTATACGTGCAATTACTGGTAGGACTCCGCTTGAATCCTGTAAACCTATATTTAAAGATCTTGGTTTATTACCCCTGCCTGCCTTATATATTTATGAAGCCAGCATTTTTGTGAAAAATAATTTACATTTGTTTATTAAGAGTATTGACGTGAACCATCGAAATTATTGAAATCCCAATAGACTAATTTTTTTTTGACGTACCTAAGGTAGAAAAATATAATCAAAATTGTTTGTGTATGTGTGTCAGAATTTACAATAGATTACCAAATGACATTAAACACTTGCCCATTACATTATTTAAGACTAAATTATATAAATTGTTAAAGAATAAAGTATATTACAGTATTAGGGAATTTCTACAATAAATTTTATGTAAAAGAATTTAAATTAATTATATAGAACTTAATGTAAATGTAACCATGTGACGACCTTTTTTTCATTTATTTTGCATGCCTAAATTATCTTCGGGCGAAACATGCTTGTACTTATATGTATATTACTGTGTTATCGTAACCACCATGGTTTATGCAAATAAACGATTTGATTGATTGATTGATTGATATACTCCACAATATCCTTGATAATGAAGCCGTGACACATATAACAACGTCGTCGGTATCGACACAATAGATGATTGGGTCCATTCGCGGCGGTGCCACTAAGGTTACGGCTGGTGTACTTCATTTTCCGCATTTTCCGTTCCACCTTTTTGAAACTATCCTCGTCGCACTGGTCAACTCTTATCGATGGTACTGACGACACAGCTCCAGAGATGAGTACTCGTTTCTTTTTCTTCCCCTTTGTTGGTAACTGCCTGGGTTGTGGTTGTGGAGCACTGAGTCGGTTAGCAGCGGCAGCATGAATCGCACACACACGGTGACAGTATTACATGACGGTATTAGTCGGTGACGTATTGGCCGACTCAAAACTACCTGTAGATGCGTTGCGATGACGAAAACGCAACCCCAATCCAATTCGGTTCAGCCATTGTGGACATGTACAAGTCACCAACAAATAAAAAAATTAACAAAAATTCTAAACACTGATTTTGTAATGTTCAGGGCCTCTATAGTTGATGGCACTAACTTTTACTTTATAATATTAAATGTCAGTACAGAACGATATTATTATTATATCTATTGATATCTTTTTAAAACATGGTCAAACAAATTCATGATATTTTACTTTCTGTCCTAAAACAACGCTTTAATTGAAACAAAAAGTGGAAATTTTAACGTTTTGTTACTAACGACCAATTTATGAAGACCATAATTGAACGGTACATAGACGAAAAAAAACAAAGAAGAAGGCCGATAATAGCTCACTGAGCAAATAAAAGAAAAGGTCAAAGTAAGTGGCTATAAAGGGGTCATGAAGCTGAATGGAGTCATAATGAATAGTGGAGGGTACACAAACAAGAACATTGCTCTTAAATAGGACGGTGATGATGTTTAATTACAATTTTTTGATCTGATAGAAGTCACAATTTAGACACTTAGAACTTAGACATATTGCAAAACTTGAGATGTAACACACCGCACTTTAAAAAATACATTGTTAAAACTGGAGTGGTGTTGCCGAAGCAAAAAATATATAATGTATTTGCCCAACCATGTGTAACGCAGATCGGATACGTGTGATTTATTATGCCGAGGTGTTTTTGTTACAAGGTACGCTATTTTTTATCCAGATAAAGTTGAGGCCTTGTACGTACGGGTTAGCTCTTATTCTGACTAGAGGTAAGGTATATATGTACATTTTTATATCTTCAAGCCTTTTCTAAAAACCTTTGGTAAGAAAACAAGCGGTCCTCCATCAACCCATAAACAGGCATTTTACATATATTTTTTTATTATTCAATGTAAATATTTACATTCGTTCATTGTTGAATGTAATTGAATGAAATGAATAATGAGCAGGACAGTACTTAGCAAAAATGTAGAATAATATTTTTTTATTATTACTTCACAATCGAAAACGCACCACGTTGATTGGTATATAAACTAGGACAGCTTGAGAACAATCACGCGTGGAAAGCACAGGCGCTTGCCTTTACGAGCCCCTTAACGTCTGATCTCATACCTAGGTTTAATAAGGCCTAAAGCCGGACTTACATTTGTCTGACTGTCGTGTCGTAACGCGTCAGAATGGTATCGGTTTCATACACACGACACAAGCCGTTACGTTAGGTTGCGACACACTAATATAGTAGCAGTAAAACTAGCGCATTGTGAAAGAGTTCGTCCAGAGACGTATTGCCACCTTACCTGTTTCCGCCACCAAGCAGTAATGTTAGCATTACTGTGTTCTGGTTTTGAAGAGTAAGGGTGGTGAAATTACAGGCACATTGGACTTGTCAACTTACGTCTGGTGACGGGCGCAGTGCCAATACCCTTCAGATCTTTGCGATTGAAAGCTCTGTATGGCACTGCAACTGTTATGGACAGGCGTGTAGCTTACCATCAGGTGCATGCCTTATCCGCCCCATCACTTGATATTATAAAAAAAAAGACAAAATTTGACGCGTCACGACACGA